CTTTCTCACACTCCACACACACACACAGCTCGGGAACAGTGTCACCTCCGAGTGGATGTCTACAACAGCTGGCACTAACAGGTGAGAGTGTAACGTGACGTGAAACAACGTGAACCGTCACTGTGGATGTTCACTGTCCTTTGCATCAGCTGACCTCTGTGGGGGGAAATCACACTCTTAACTCGCAGGGAAACAGCAGTTTATGTGTCGTCAGATACGATGAAGGCTACATTAACACTCATAACTGACTTACAGCTCCTCTCGTGCCTCCCAGCTGCGAGCCTTGCAGGCTGTTCACCCCCTGCGGCAGCAACTGATCTGTCAATACCACTGACAAACTCTGTGATGTCTCCAAACTAAACGCACTGACGACACACAATAACTCAAACCTTGTCCCTGCTGGCAACATCATCAAGTACTTCATTGCTGTTAATGTGGTTGTTGTTATTATGCAGGAGTGTTTTTAATTATCACTCTGTGCCTGCTAAACACTTGGTGGCCAATTGCTGGAATGGAGAGCATGAAAATCAGTGTGGAAAAGTATGTGAGGATGTACTGAAAATACTAAAACATAGAGGCGCTGTACAGATAAATCACCAGTGCCATCAAGGAGGCATCTGATTGGTCAAAAAGAATCATTCTGCAGCAGGACAATGAGTCCAGACATTGAGCCAGAGTCATAAATAACCATCTTTAGCCACAAGAAGAATGAAGAGTCCTGCAACAGATGGTCTGACCCCCACAGGTCTCAGGATCATAGAGTCAGTCTGAGATTATATGAAGACACGGAGACACTAAGACAGCCTGAATCCATAGACGGACTCCGGTAAGGGTTCCAAGTTGAAAACTCTAACTGTAATAAAGTTTTAAAAAAAACTGAGGCAAATGATGCTTGACACAGCAAATACTGATTGAATTATTTGAATTTTGATGGTCTTATTAAAAGTGGGTGAGAGCCAGTAGCTCCACCTCCTCCTGTTTCTGTCCCTGTGCTGTAATTATCGCCTGAGTGTCACCACACAGACTGAGCAGCAGGCAGCAGGTTTTCCCTTTGAACTGCAGACAGGGCTGCTGCTACTAATGAAGAGCCAACAGAGGCCCAGCTCAGGTTTGTTCAGTCACATACTGCAGGTTCTCTTCAAAGGGATGGTCACAAAGCATTCAGAGTTCTTGGGACGTGCTTGAAGTGGATAAAGAGACATATCTGTCATTAGGAGTTGTTCTTTTCTTTTAAGTTAAACTGTGGTGTTCAGTCCTCTTTAAGGGAATCAGAGAGACATATCTGTGAGCAGCATTCTTTCTTTTCCTTCTTTGATCCCCTGATATGATGGTTTTTCAGATTTGTGGACAGGAAAAGACAAACACACAGCTTCCTGAGAGGCAGACGATTTTACCAAGCAGCGTTTAGAACATCCACAGGAAACGATTAAACAAGCAGATATGTGTAGGATGAGTGTGTTATCTCAAGGTTGAGACCAACGAACTGGATGTCTGCCTGTAAAAATGTCACAGACGAGTTGTGTGACTCCATCATGTGCCAGTCATCCAGCCCAGCGTTTATTCATTTAATAACAGCAATACAGAATACCTCCACTAAAACCCGCCGAGCTTTAACTGTGACACACAACTTTCTTACCTTGAATCGCACTTTCTTGAGCATCATCCTTGAATCCAGAGTGAAACAGACGCGAACACTAATGAGATGTTACAGAACTTTTCCAACTCTTCTGTTCATTCAGGAAAATTCCTCCTTCACCAAAACTCCAACCGGTCGCCCCTCTGACTCCAAATCCAGCCCAAACATCCAAACAGGAACCACAGTGTGCTGTGCAGAGTGAGGCGTCTGCCTGCCGACTGTGTGTTTAACATGCCAAAGACAACAGTGTCTGCCCTCCCCTCTCTGCCCCCTCCTCTCCCTCCTCTGAGACCCTTTTGCGAGGCTTATCAGCCTGCTCATTCATTCGTAAACCAGACACACCCTCTTTTTTATGACTGGAGGGCTGCTATTAACACCCCCGTCCTCCAACAACACCCTGCAGTCCAAATATGGGAGCTGGTAAGCTCTCTCAAACTCGCCCCCTCTGACCCTAAAAAGCCCTGCCTCCCCCACCCCACCTCACCCTCACAGTCTTCATCTCCCATCATTCACCCATCTGTTGGACCACGACGCCTCAGCCCAGCATCTGACTCGCTGTCATCTTCACGGCTGTTTGGCTTCTTCTGGCACATAATCCATCAACAATACAACCATAGCGGAGCACAGACTTCCAAAATGTAGTGCAAAGTTCAGGATAAAGGGAATTTTAAACAGAAAAGTTTGAATTTTTAAAAGCAGTACATGAGGTTGACATTCTCAGATCTACAAGGAGACTGTTCAGAGTGTGAGGAGACGTATAACCTACATAAAGCATCACTTCAGACTTTAGTCCTGGGTGGAGAGTCTTCAATAGAGGATATGACAATGATCAGAAACAAATAAGCCTTAAAGCAGTTATACAGCTTGCATTTAGCCAGAGGACATATTTCAGTGTAGAGGATCCTGGCTGCAGCATTTTGAACCCCCCATGTTTTAACCCCCATGTAGATGTTTGATCTGCTTCGTTAACTGAGAAATTCACAGTTGATCTATTTTTTAAAAAACATACAAACTATTGTTTCATTGCTCATTGTGCTTGGGGCTACACAAGAAAACCCATAGAAGATGGTATGAGATGTAAGTCAAAGGACTTGTTAAGCATTTTTAAAGAAGAATGAAGAGGAGAACTTGGGATGACACTTCACACTGAGAAGATCTTCTGTCGTTATTCTGTGTTGTTGCAGTCTTTGCTGTTTGATTGATCAGCGGACTAGTTTGTCCATTCTTTATGGGGCTTTAGATCGATCGATGGATAGATGGATAGATACAGAAACACAGATGACAAAGCACTAAAAGAGCCTTAAAGTTCAATGTAAAGTTCCTGATCAGTTCCTGGAACTAAAGGACTATTGGTAAAAACATGGCATTTTCAAGTATGTGCTGCATAATCCTTATCAAAGGACAGCCAGCGATACAGAGAGAACATTATGAGAACATGCACTGTGATGTTCTTTTTATTTGGATAGTTCAGAGATAGTCCCAATACTCGTTTTGTCCTTGATTAAATGGAGATCATTTTAAGTCATCCAATGACTGATTTGGGAAATTCGACAAAAATCCACCACATTGAGACAAGAGATACAGAACTGTGTGTCATCTGAACAGTGATGCAAACAGACAGAAGAATTAGGCCCAGAGAAGATAATGCTCTGACTTTGGATTTTTCTAAATCAATCATCTTGGGTGGTGCAAAGCCTGGGACACCGCGACTAAAGTAGTATGGACGGGAACTTAATCTAGTGGAACACTGGTACACAAGTAGAAGATCCCTGTCGTGAAAATGGCAAAATCACCAAAAAACTACTAACTTTTATTTGAACAACTCAAATCCTTGTCAAAATTTGCCAAACTTATGTCAAATAGAGTTACGCCAAGATTTGAAAACACCACTTTGACCCCTGGGCTTCAGGTCAGACTGTTTTTATCTGTGAAGTTATTAAATTCAGTAGAAAGAGAGGGACTGCTGACATTTAAAGAAGTGTTTGTTTAACCTTTACCTTCAGGCTGCTGTGAACGTTCTCTGTAATCTGATGGTTCCCAAACGGAACTTCAAGGGCTGCAATCCTGCATGTTTTAGATGTTTCCTTCTTCCAACACACCTGATTCAAATGATCAGGATCGTTATCAGGCTTCTGCAGAGCTTGATGATGAGCTGGTCATTTGAATCAGGTGTGTTGGAAGAAGGAAACATCTTAAACATGCAGGATTGCGGCCCTCGAGGACTGGAGTTCGACACCCCTGGTCCAAACTGTTCCCACCAGAGGAGAACGCACTTCAAACACAGAAAGATAGTCAAAGTTAAAGTCACTGTTCATTTGTGGCGTCATGCAGGATTCACTGTCCTGAGTGACTCCATCGAAGCCACCGCACCACTACATCCTGTTCTTACAGTGGACTTAGTTGCTATTTATGCCGTCTCATCTGATCGGTGAACAGCACTATGACTTGCTGAAATGTCCTGTCAGCCAAGAGGATGAGCAGAAGTCTATATTGTCCTTTAAGACCACTTGAATTATCCTATAGTGAAACCTTGATATCAAATTTTGGTCCAGTGATGCCAACAAACAGCTTTAACTTGCTCGGTTTATCAGTATATTGCATGCAGCTGCTGGCAAGTGGTTTCAAGCAGACACTGCTTCAAATTAAGAGGGTGTTAAACCAAAAAGGTTGCAAACCGCTGGTACAATAAAGAACAGACATGAGTCATGCATGTAGAAACCCGACGAGCGGCTGAGAGCTCCATGTTTGGTCTGGCTCCAGTGGCCTTCACACATGATGCTAATGAGTGGAGCGGCTGAGTCATTGGGACTGGGGTTAGTCATCACATGACACACAACGAAATGAAATACCTCAAATTTCAATCTCGGCTGAGTTTATTTGGGACAGGGGTCTCCAACTCTGGTCCTCATGAGCTGCTGTCCTGCAGGTTTTAGATGTTGGAGATCCATTACTGTGAGTCAGGTGTGTTGCAGTACGGAAACGTCTAAAACCTGCAGGACAGTAGCTCATGAGGTCCAGAGTTAGAGATCCCTAGTCCAGGAAATGCAGTTTTTGTGAAGGTTAATAGGGACTTGGTTACTCTGTGCTGCAGCTGCTTCTTTTTTTTGTGATCAACCAAATTCTAAATATGATTAAAATAAAAAATATAGCTGTATCACATGCAACAGAGCAACAAGTTATCTCTAAAACTTCTTCTGACAACCAGAATAAATACATCTACATGGAGCTAAATGAGTAAAATGACCCACAGACACCCCGTACCGCTACACTACACTCACTTTCGTGCATTATTTACGATTAACAACTAGGTACATTCCCCTCGCTAATTACAACAAGCCAATTAACACACAAACCCAAGTCGGACTTCCATTTTCAATAATACATTTTTATTCCATTAAAGATTCTTTTTTTCTAATTGTACACTGGAATGTTAAGATTCCCCTTCAGCAATTTAGTTAAAAATGCTCAATCTAGTCATTTTCAACCCCACATCCACACAACCACTGCTAAGTTGAAATTTGGGGAGTACAAATGAAAAAGAAAAAAAAAACAAAACATGAAAGACAAATGTTATATTTTGAATAATGTTGATGTACTATGAGAATGTAAGTAAAGGATGACTGGGTGGATGAACAGCAGTGTACTGCGAGGGCTCCCTGCTTACCTTGGATGTGAGGGGTTGAGTATCAGGGCTCTGATCCAGCTCTGTGTGTCTGAGTGGACGCCAACACACATCCGCCCCCCATCTCAGATCTAAAGCCTCATGTGGGATGTTAGATTAGAGGGTTGGATGTTGTTTCTGGGCCTCCTTCAAAGAACTTTTTAAACTCTGATATCTGAGGGCTGATCATCGCTGGTCTTAAATTGACCACAGTGAAACATGGCGTCTGTTTTTTTGTTTGTTTGTTTTTGGCGTGAGGAGTGGTTGTAATGGTGTTACAAGAAAAAAGAAAAAGATCATCAGGAAAGTCAACAGATGCAACAGTCAAATGTATTTACTGGTAGGTAACGTCGCCCTGCAGCTGAGAATCCCTTACAAAGTCCTGCTCTTCAATGTCAAATTTCTACATCCAGATTAGTGGTAAACAATGAAAAATTATACAGCAAACAGTAAAAAATATCCAAGTTCAAAATAAAAAGGACAATTTTGCTGATGACGACCACGGACAGTACGGACAATATACCGAGCACAGAGCGATATTGTTGCCTTTCAACGATGAGCCGATGTCTACGAAAAACTGAAAAATCAAAAGTGTCCTCACGAGAATAAAACGAAAACAGTCATCTGATGTGAGATATCAATAGAGCAAATCACAAGAGTTTAACGATTAAAGAATGACAGGCTTATAATGATTGAAACAGCTACAATTCTGCAGTTATTATGCATAAGAAAATCTGAAAAGAAAAAAAAAAAAAGCAACAACCCCATTTAACAATCGATGAACCTTTGCAATGCGAGTGAAGAAGACAGGTTGTGGAGGATGCACGATTCTCGGGGGGGTTTGGGGGTTTTGGGGGGGATGCTAAACTGCCAGCGCTCACTCTAGTGGAGACTGATAGTGGCCTCGGGTCCCTGTTCTCCCTCTCTACCTCCTGGCAGGGTTTTACCGATAGACTGACCAAGAGACGGCCGCTGGCGTCTCCTGCACCCCCGCAGTCATCCTCTACTTAGTCTGAAGTCCTCTTTACAGTTCTGCTTGGCGAACACAACAGCATCAGTGTAGGTTTCTTTGTGTGTGTGCGTCTGTGTGTGTGTGTGTCTGTTTGTTGGTTTTTCCTGTTCAATTAACTCTATATATAGATGATCCTCTCTCATACAAACATATAAATACACCACCGCTGCTCTGCTCCACCACAGGAAGAGGCTTCGCCAAAGGGCTGACGTAGTCCTGTCGATGTACACAGTCTCTCAAATAGTATACAGGGCGGGCAGGCAAGAAATCTTCAATCTTTCTCTGTAGCATAGATCTGGACTTTTTTTGTTGGTGATTTTTATTTTTTGATTTTGTCGTTTTCTTTGAATACCTTTTTTTTTTTCTTTTGTTTTTACAGGATTTCGTATTTGTCGACGACAAAGGAGGTTTCTGAAGAGAATCTAACGGAGCTGTCGCCGTCTACGTGAGTCACTTTGGTAACCTGGGGAGAGAGACGAGAGGTTTAATCACCAGCACATCTACTGTTTATCATAGCATACACATCACTAAGCACAAGACATACTCTGTAGACTCTTCATATCACTTCTGGGACTTAACTTTTAGCAAATGGCTTGAAAGAGTCAATAAGCAGTCCTGATAAGATGGTACCAATACAAATGCCTGCTTATGTGTAGGAATATGGAGCTTCTATGATTGAGAAGAAAGTAAAGGGCTGTCTGACACCAAGGGAAAGCTGTAACAATATTCTAAATGACCGTACTCTTAAACTGATTTTTTTTCCATGTAGATCTCTCTTTAGGTGGCTGAAATACATTTTGCTGCTCACCCCTTTCACACCAGTACATAGTCCTCCGACTCGACTGTGATCTGCTGCAGGTAATACACCCACTATAGATAAGCACGTCATACAGCCCCACTTCAAAAGAAACTTAACTATCCTTTCCTGAGGGGAGGTTGAGTTTCCTTCCAGTGTTTCTGTCCAAGCCTTCAAATATTAACCCTATTAGCTGTGATAACTTACTGCTGATTGCGTCACACTGAAAATCTGGCAAACCAGCAGGAGGCTTTTATTGTGAAGCACTTGTACGAGCTGCAATGTGTTTCTCAGAGGTAGAAAAGATTTATTAGCAGTGGTGTTCCTCATCATAAACATGGCTCCATTTCCTGAAGGCATCTTTAAAGGTAATATGATCTGAGCTATGACACTTGGATCATGCTGAGATGCTTTTGGCAAACAGAGCTTCATTTAACACAACAAGAAACGGGCGTATGTGGCATTATTTGGTCGCCAGCTCAGCTTTAAATATTACTGAGGGTTAGTGTGAATGTACACAGCTGCAGCGAGCTGAGATGTGCAGGTGCAGTTGAAAGTTTCTTCGAAAATTGGCGATGATCAGCAGCAGCGTGTCGCCTGATTCTTGTCTTTAACTGCCAGCTCCAACTATCTGATTACTAAACTGACTCAGATTCAGAAATAAGATCTTCAGGTGGACGCATGCGGCGGCTCCGCAGTTAAACGTTACTCCCATCACTGCTGCTGACACTACAGCCTGGTTCTTGCAGACATTAGTAAAAGACTGCATCCTTATGAGAGACTCACCTGGATGTCGCAGTAGTTGCGCTTGGACACAAAGGACACATTGATAGGAAAGAAATCATTGGGCTGTCCGGCGATGCTGAATTCCAGGCTGCCGGTCTTGTTGTTGGCATCGATGACGGGTAGGCACCACTCCAGGACGTTCCGCCTGCTGTCGTGTTTGTACTCTCCATCCAGATCGCCAATCACAGGAGCTCCCACACCAGAACTGAAGAGGAGCACAAACATGAACACAACAAACTTTTACAACGTCGCATTGACATGAATGTTAAATGTTGTTGAGTTCAATTCATCCAGACACACAGATGTTTTGTGATCAGGGTGCTCTAACCTACACCTACACAGCTACACCACCTCAACGTTTACAACTTCCTACTATAGTGTTGACATGTAATTGCACAAGATATGTCTATACTACTGATCATTTACAACTACAATATAAACCTGTGTTATTTCTCTGCAAGAGACCTGAGATCTGTCAACTCTGAGAGTTTCACACATCAACTACAATCACAAACTGTCACTTTCATTGCATCAGCAGGCCCGGACACAAACTCACAAAGACTGGACAGATTTGCAGATGTACTCACGGTACGGGGATGCTGATGACCACGTCGTTGAGCTCAAGGCTCTCCTCCTGCAGCTCGTATTCAATGTTGACATCGCAGCCGGTTCCGCTCTCTGAAGGCCAGCAGTTTACTGTGACACAGAGAATCCAGGTGAGACTGCAGCAGGACACGGTTCTGCAGTGCTGCAGTGCTGCACTGTGACACCTCAAGGCTTTCATCATCTCACCAAACAAACCAAAGCAATCCCATCAAATAACTGAAGAGTTGAAAAATGCATCAACAACTCTTTTTAAAATGAGATAATCGTTGTTTTGTTTAATGCAGAAATATCACTTCTTCAGTGGGAAGATATATTTCTTATTTCTGTCATTAATAATAGTAACCTTAATCGCCTGGGGTTTTGGAACACTGGTTGGACGTCTGAAGATGCCACCCTGGGCTGCAGGAAACTATTAAAGGGATTTTTGCTATTTTCTGACATTTTACAGGCAAAACAATAATTCACTTAATCAAGCCTTTAATCACAGATGAATCGATAGTAAAAATAGTGCTTTGATGAAGCTCTCCAGTCATCAGAGCAGCAGCATCCCACTAAACCAGTTTCACTCAAGCACACATGAGCTGCATGTTCGGACGTACTGGTTAGAGGTATGAGGGACTCGTCTGTGGTCTGTAGTCTCCACTTCAGGACACCAACATCGTTGTTGAGAGGGAAGGACTTCTCTGGGTTCTTCAGGCCAATAATGGAGTCAGCTGTGAACAACTTCTTGTCCACATTGGGATGTGTCTGAGAAGAAAGAGAGGAAAGAGACACACAAACATCAGTAAGTGGTTATTAACTGTGCTAGTTTAGTTGTTTTTGTCATTTTTCACACTTCAGTATGTTTTATATTTTTGTCTGTATTGTGTGTTATACCTGAGCAGCATATTAATGTTGCTACTTTTCTTGATTTTATTTTATGAGCTTAATCCAACAGTTCTGAGGATGAATGTGGAAAGAAGCAGGTAATCTGATTACCGTTGACAGTCACTCTACTTGCTTTTAGTGTCTCCATGGACTCATTGGTGTCGTAAGTTAGCAGGAGAGTCCTGACATTTGTTGCTGCTGTACAGTAAATGCTCTGTACAGAGTGTGCCAGCAGCCCTTTGCCATCCACAGTCAAGAACCCAGAATAATTCCACTTGCTGCTTCTCAGGGCTTCAGGTCAAAATTAATTATTTGAATTATGAGTGACTGGGGCAGCAACAAGCCAAGCTGAATTTTTTCTTCTTTTTTTTTTTTGCCTTTGTTGTACAATACAGTGAAGAGAGAGACAGGAAAGGGGAGAAGAATGGGGGAAGGACTTGCAGCAAAGGGCTATGAACGGGATTCGAACCCATGGCAGCTGCATCGGGGACTATAGCCCCTGTACGTGGGTTGCCAGCTCAACCAGGTGAGCTATAGCGGCGGCTCCAAGCTGAATTTTAACAAAGCTTTCTGCTGGACTACAACCTAAACTACTCAAACAGGGTGCTACAGGTTAAATATCTACTTTGCTTACATAATGGGAAAAAAAATACTGGAATTAAAAAATGAATAAACAAAAATTCACACCATCCTTCTTCTACACTGTGTCTGTTATTGTTGTTATGCATGCGGATAACTCATCATGCACTCATGAATGACATTTAGGGGTGTGACATTTTATTTTTTTTTATTTATTATTAAGAAAACAATGTAAATGCACTGTATAATGTTTAGTCAGACTGATTTGAATTCCGATCATTTTATAAGAGGACATATTGTGTTTTATACATTTCTACAGTATCTTTTAATATAGTTTATTATGTTGACATTTCGGCACAGACTAAAGTGATTGAAATCCTCTAAATCTCAAACATCTAAAAATGTACAGAGAAGAGCTTCGTGACAACACCAAGTTATTATTGTAGTTTGAGAACCACATTTGCTTCCTGCGCTGGCAGAGACTCAACAGCTTGGAAGATGATATCCAAATTAGCAGCACCCTCACCTTATCTAGATTGTCTCCGGTAAATATTAATGTCTGTGTTCGGCCTACCTGCAGCTGCAACCCTTTGTTGTCATTATTGTTGATAACGAGGCGGATGCGTCCGTTTTTGTCCTCCGTGACTCGGAGCGTCACCATGCCCAGCACCTCCATGTTCTGTAGGCCGCCGTCACGGCCGCAGGTCAGCGTGATCTTCTCCTCCACACGCAGATGTACACTGGGGAGGAAACCCGTCCATACAGAATAAGCAAGGAACAAATACACAGAAGGTAGTCCAAGCAGGTAACACTGAACAGAACTTTAGTGAGAATGTTGTTGGAAGCAGAGTCCTGCTGCTCCTGAATGTTAGCAGTGTCTCTGCTGATAGACACTCAGCTTCTGGCCTGTGTTGGAAATATCGGGTATTTCAGAATCCACATGTACATCGTCTGTGCACAAGAGGCCATAAGTGATACCAATATTTTTTTTTAAGGAGGGACTCTGCATGCTATAGATATTTTACTATTTGTTATACATAAAATAAAACAAAAAGTAACTCATCAGGGCTCCAGCCTACGACCAAACTGGAACTCTTTTTGAGCATTCAAGTTAAAATTTCAAGTGGTCGTATTCATGTGAGTGATGATGATCATTAAGCTGGTTGGTGTCGCTCTAACCGGCTCAGGTAGCTGCTGTGTTAACCACAGAGGTGGAAAGTAGCACTTCTGTTTCAGTCTGTTCCTGCCTGATGCTATTCAGCTGCTGTGCGCTGTAAAGATAAAGTGGTCTGTAGCTTATTATTATAAAAGCAAATTGAGGAAAGAGGAGGCGGCTGGTGGAGGTGGACAGGTTCGACACAGACACACCTGATGATCAGAGTGACGGAAAATACCGTCCGAACCGGTGAACGAAAAAATGCAATTCATTCAATCACAATGGCTAACGTAGGAGCAGGGCTGCAAAATTACAACAATGATTTTAGCCACATTCGACTGGCATTTAAAAATACGCTCCACTTTTTACAAGCAGTGTTTTTTCCGCTCATAGAAAACTGCACATGTGAATAAAATCACTTGGTTTCATCTTGGACGTTTCTGACATTAGAACAGTAGCTCATTTTTTAGAAGTCATTTTTGCTGAACCCCTTGTCTGAGCACACCACATCCATCCAGCAGTATCTACTGCAGCCTGCAGGTTTAGGCGCACGGGGATCATCAGTAAGTTTGGTGTCTTTCCATAGGAACATGTTCAGCAAGGGAGGCGTTTTGACTGTACAAAGGTGGAAAAAAGTTGGACACACTGGTGCTACCGGTAAAAAAGTTTGTCTGGAGCCCTGCACATGATGAGTTCAAGGACTGTTGGAAAGTTTCTTGCTATGATGAATGGTGTCATTTTAGGGATTCTTAAACAAATGCTTTTCCAAACTTGTGAGTGGATTTTGGGGTTCTGAGGCTTAACATACATTTTGAATCAATTAAATCATTAATGGCAATTAATCAAATAAGAATTGTTCATAAATATCTATATTACACTATTTAAAATCAAATTATACAGAGCAGCCTATAAAACTGTAACATTACAACAACAAGAATGTCATTGGATAGAAGAGTTCTGTTTGATTGGAGCTCAGCTGCATCACTGCAGCATATTTGTTCATCAAACAAGGTCACACCCACGTCGTTTCACGCCATAATCCAGGCTGCATCCACATCTGGAACATTCCAAGTTGGCTCTATGGATGTCATTTTTACAAATACTCAACCTTGTTACTGATAGTTTTCCCACATTGCAGCTTATGTATGACCACAACAAACACAGTATTCTGAGCCGATCAGCCGAACACACCAGCAGAGCAGCTGTCCTGTGCTGATTGGAAACGTTTTAGCTTCCAGTGCCTTTGGTCATTATCTGTGATGTGAAGATATCACATTTCCACACAGTCAAAAAGTTGAAAAGCATGTGTCCTGGTCATTGTTCAGTTCTACGGTCCTCTGGGGTTTCTCTTTTAAACCGACATTTTGGGGGCAGTGCTTCTCATAAAGGCAGATTTTGTCTCACTGAGCATCAGGTGAAAAACCANAAACTGTTCCCACCAGAGGAGAACGCACTTCAAACACAGAAAGATAGTCAAAGTTAAAGTCACTGTTCATTTGTGGCGTCATGCAGGATTCACTGTCCTGAGTGACTCCATCGAAGCCACCGCACCACTACATCCTGTTCTTACAGTGGACTTAGTTGCTATTTATGCCGTCTCATCTGATCGGTGAACAGCACTATGACTTGCTGAAATGTCCTGTCAGCCAAGAGGATGAGCAGAAGTCTATATTGTCCTTTAAGACCACTTGAATTATCCTATAGTGAAACCTTGATATCAAATTTTGGTCCAGTGATGCCAACAAACAGCTTTAACTTGCTCGGTTTATCAGTATATTGCATGCAGCTGCTGGCAAGTGGTTTCAAGCAGACACTGCTTCAAATTAAGAGGGTGTTAAACCAAAAAGGTTGCAAACCGCTGGTACAATAAAGAACAGACATGAGTCATGCATGTAGAAACCCGACGAGCGGCTGAGAGCTCCATGTTTGGTCTGGCTCCAGTGGCCTTCACACATGATGCTAATGAGTGGAGCGGCTGAGTCATTGGGACCGGGGTTAGTCATCACATGACACACAACGAAATGAAATACCTCAAATTTCAATCTCGGCTGAGTTTATTTGGGACAGGGGTCTCCAACTCTGGTCCTCATGAGCTGCTGTCCTGCAGGTTTTAGATGTTGGAGATCCATTACTGTGAGTCAGGTGTGTTGCAGTACGGAAACGTCTAAAACCTGCAGGACAGTAGCTCATGAGGTCCAGAGTTAGAGATCCCTAGTCCAGGAAATGCAGTTTTTGTGAAGGTTAATAGGGACTTGGTTACTCTGTGCTGCAGCTGCTTCTTTTTTTTGTGATCAACCAAATTCTAAATATGATTAAAATAAAAAATATAGCTGTATCACATGCAACAGAGCAACAAGTTATCTCTAAAACTTCTTCTGACAACCAGAATAAATACATCTACATGGAGCTAAATGAGTAAAATGCCCAGAGACAGCCCGCACCGCTACACTACACTCACTTTCGTGCATTATTTACGATTAACAACTAGGTACATTCCCCTCGCTAATTACAACAAGCCAATTAACACACAAACCCAAGTCGGACTTCCATTTTCAATAATACATTTTTATTCCATTAAAGATTCTTTTTTTCTAATTGTACACTGGAATGTTAAGATTCCCCTTCAGCAATTTAGTTAAAAATGCTCAATCTAGTCATTTTCAACCCCACATCCACACAACCACTGCTAAGTTGAAATTTGGGGAGTACAAATGAAAAAGAAAAAAAAAAACAAAACATGAAAGACAAATGTTATATTTTGAATAATGTTGATGTACTATGAGAATGTAAGTAAAGGATGACTGGGTGGATGAACAGCAGTGTACTGCGAGGGCTCCCTGCTTACCTTGGATGTGAGGGGTTGAGTATCAGGGCTCTGATCCAGCTCTGTGTGTCTGAGTGGACGCCAACACACATCCGCCCCCCATCTCAGATCTAAAGCCTCATGTGGGATGTTAGATTAGAGGGTTGGATGTTGTTTCTGGGCCTCCTTCAAAGAACTTTTTAAACTCTGATATCTGAGGGCTGATCATCGCTGGTCTTAAATTGACCACAGTGAAACATGGCGTCTGTTTTTTTGTTTGTTTGTTTTTGGCGTGAGGAGTGGTTGTAATGGTGTTACAAGAAAAAAGAAAAAGATCATCAGGAAAGTCAACAGATGCAACAGTCAAATGTATTTACTGGTAGGTAACGTCGCCCTGCAGCTGAGAATCCCTTACAAAGTCCTGCTCTTCAATGTCAAATTTCTACATCCAGATTAGTGGTAAACAATGAAAAATTATACAGCAAACAGTAAAAAATATCCAAGTTCAAAATAAAAAGGACAATTTTGCTGATGACGACCACGGACAGTACGGACAATATACCGAGCACAGAGCGATATTGTTGCCTTTCAACGATGAGCCGATGTCTACGAAAAACTGAAAAATCAAAAGTGTCCTCACGAGAATAAAACGAAAACAGTCATCTGATGTGAGATATCAATAGAGCAAATCACAAGAGTTTAACGATTAAAGAATGACAGGCTTATAATGATTGAAACAGCTACAATTCTGCAGTTATTATGCATAAGAAAATCTGAAAAGAAAAAAAAAAAAAGCAACAACCCCATTTAACAATCGATGAACCTTTGCAATGCGAGTGAAGAAGACAGGTTGTGGAGGATGCACGATTCTCGGGGGGGTTTGGGGGTTTTGGGGGGGATGCTAAACTGCCAGCGCTCACTCTAGTGGAGACTGATAGTGGCCTCGGGTCCCTGTTCTCCCTCTCTACCTCCTGGCAGGGTTTTACCGATAGACTGACCAAGAGACGGCCGCTGGCGTCTCCTGCACCCCCGCAGTCATCCTCTACTTAGTCTGAAGTCCTCTTTACAGTTCTGCTTGGCGAACACAACAGCATCAGTGTAGGTTTCTTTGTGTGTGTGCGTCTGTGTGTGTGTGTGTCTGTTTGTTGGTTTTTCCTGTTCAATTAACTCTATATATAGATGATCCTCTCTCATACAAACATATAAATACACCACCGCTGCTCTGCTCCACCACAGGAAGAGGCTTCGCCAAAGGGCTGACGTAGTCCTGTCGATGTACACAGTCTCTCAAATAGTATACAGGGCGGGCAGGCAAGAAATCTTCAATCTTTCTCTGTAGCATAGATCTGGACTTTTTTTGTTGGTGATTTTTATTTTTTGATTTTGTCGTTTTCTTTGAATACCTTTTTTTTTTTCTTTTGTTTTTACAGGATTTCGTATTTGTCGACGACAAAGGAGGTTTCTGAAGAGAATCTAACGGAGCTGTCGCCGTCTACGTGAGTCACTTTGGTAACCTGGGGAGAGAGACGAGAGGTTTAATCACCAGCACATCTACTGTTTATCATAGCATACACATCACTAAGCACAAGACATACTCTGTAGACTCTTCATATCACTTCTGGGACTTAACTTTTAGCAAATGGCTTGAAAGAGTCAATAAGCAGTCCTGATAAGATGGTACCAATACAAATGCCTGCTTATGTGTAGGAATATGGAGCTTCTATGATTGAGAAGAAAGTAAAGGGCTGTCTGACACCAAGGGAAAGCTGTAACAATATTCTAAATGACCGTACTCTTAAACTGATTTTTTTTCCATGTAGATCTCTCTTTAGGTGGCTGAAATACATTTTGCTGCTCACCCCTTTCACACCAGTACATAGTCCTCCGACTCGACTGTGATCTGCTGCAGGTAATACACCCACTATAGATAAGCACGTCATACAGCCCCACTTCAAAAGAAACTTAACTATCCTTTCCTGAGGGGAGGTTGAGTTTCCTTCCAGTGTTTCTGTCCAAGCCTTCAAATATTAACCCTATTAGCTGTGATAACTTACTGCTGATTGCGTCACACTGAAAATCTGGCAAACCAGCAGGAGGCTTTTATTGTGAAGCACTTGTACGAGCTGCAATGTGTTTCTCAGAGGTAGAAAAGATTTATTAGCAGTGGTGTTCCTCATCATAAACATGGCTCCATTTCCTGAAGGCATCTTTAAAGGTAATATGATCTGAGCTATGACACTTGGATCATGCTGAGATGCTTTTGGCAAACAGAGCTTCATTTAACACAACAAGAAACGGGCGTATGTGGCATTATTTGGTCGCCAGCTCAGCTTTAAATATTACTGAGGGTTAGTGTGAATGTACACAGCTGCAGCGAGCTGAGATGTGCAGGTGCAGTTGAAAGTTTCTTCGAAAATTGGCGATGATCAGCAGCAGCGTGTCGCCTGATTCTTGTCTTTAACTGCCAGCTCCAACTATCTGATTACTAAACTGACTCAGATTCAGAAATAAGATCTTCAGGTGGACGCATGCGGCGGCTCCGCAGTTAAACACTACTCCCATCACTGCTGCCGACACTACAGCCTGGTTCTTGCAGACTTTAGTAAAAGACTGCATCCTTATGAGAGACTCACCTGGATGTCGCAGTAGTTGCGCTTGGACACAAAGGACACATTGATAGGAAAGAAATCATTGGGCTGTCCGGCGATGCTGAATTCCAGGCTGCCGGTCTTGTTGTTGGCATCGATGACGGGTAGGCACCACTCCAGGACGTTCCGCCTGCTGTCGTGTTTGTACTCTCCATCCAGATCGCCAATCACAGGAGCTCCCACACCAGAACTGAAGAGGAGCACAAACATGAACACAACAAACTTTTACAACGTCGCATTGACATGAATGTTAAATGTTGTTGAGTTCAATTCATCCAGACACACAGATGTTTTGTGATCAGGGTGCTCTAACCTACACCTACACAGCTACACCACCTCAACGTTTACAACTTCCTACTATAGTGTTGACATGTAATTGCACAAGATATGTCTATACTACTGATCATTTACAACTACAATATAAACCTGTGTTATTTCTCTGCAAGAGTAGATGACCCGAGATCTGTCAACTCTGAGAGTTTCACACATCAACTACAATCACAAACTGTCACTTTCATTGCATCAGCAGGCCAGGACACAAACTCACAAAGACTGGACAGATTTGTAGATGTACTCACGGTACGGGGATGCTGATGACCACGTCGTTGAGCTCAAGGCTCTCCTCCTGCAGCTCGTATTCAATGTTGACATCGCAGCCGGTTCCGCTCTCTGAAGGCCAGCAGTTTACTGTGACACAGAGAATCCAGGTGAGACTGCAGCAGGACACGGTTCTGCAGTGCTGCAGTGCTGCACTGTGACACCTCAAGGCTTTCATCATCTCACCAAACAAACCAAAGCAATCCCATCAAATAACTGAAGAGTTGAAAAATGCATCAACAACTCTTTTTAAAATGAGATAATCGTTGTTTTGTTTAATGCAGAAATATCACTTCTTCAGTGGGAAGATATATTTCTTATTTCTGTCATTAATAATAGTAACCTTAATCGCCTGGGGTTTTGGAACACTGGTTGGACGTCTGAAGATGCCACCCTGGGCTGCAGGAAACTATTAAAGGGATTTTTGCCATTTTCTGACATTTTACAGGCAAAACAATAATTCACTTAATCAAGCCTTTAATCACAGATGAATCGATAGTAAAAATAGTGCTTTGATGAAGCTCTCCAGTCATCAGAGCAGCAGCATCCCACTAAACCAGTTTCACTCAAGCACACATGAGCTGCATGTTCGGACGTACTGGTTAGAGGTATGAGGGACTCGTCTGTGGTCTGTAGTCTCCACTTCAGGACACCAACATCGTTGTTGAGAGGGAAGGACTTCTCTGGGTTCTTCAGGCCAATAATGGAGTCAGCTGTGAACAACTTCTTGTCCACATTGGGATGTGTCTGAGAAGAAAGAGAGGAAAGAGACACACAAACATCAGTAAGTGGTTATTAACTGTGCTAGTTTAGTTGTTTTTGTCATTTTTCACACTTCAGTATGTTTTATATTTTTGTCTGTATTGTGTGTTATACCTGAGCAGCATATTAATGTTGCTACTTTTCTTGATTTTATTTTATGAGCTTAATCCAACAGTTCTGAGGATGAATGTGGAAAGAAGCAGGTAATCTGATTACCGTTGACAGTCACTCTACTTGCTTTTAGTGTCTCCATGGACTCATTGGTGTCGTAAGTTAGCAGGAGAGTCCTGACATTTGTTGCTGCTGTACAGTAAATGCTCTGTACAGAGTGTGCCAGCAGCCCTTTGCCATCCACAGTCAAGAACCCAGAATAATTCCACTTGCTGCTTCTCAGGGCTTCAGGTCAAAATTAATTATTTGAATTATGAGTGACTGGGGCAGCAACAAGCCAAGCTGAATTTTTTCTTCTTTTTTTTTTTTGCCTTTGTTGTACAATACAGTGAAGAGAGAGACAGGAAAGGGGAGAAGAATGGGGGAAGGACTTGCAGCAAAGGGCTATGAACGGGATTCGAACCCATGGCAGCTGCATCGGGGACTATAGCCCCTGTACGTGGGTTGCCAGCTCAACCAGGTGAGCTATAGCGGCGGCTCCAAGCTGAATTTTAACAAAGCTTTCTGCTGGACTACAACCTAAACTACTCAAACAGGGTGCTACAGGTTAAATATCTACTTTGCTTACATAATGGGAAAAAAAATACTGGAATTAAAAAATGAATAAACAAAAATTCACACCATCCTTCTTCTACACTGTGTCTGTTATTGTTGTTATGCATGCGGATAACTCATCATGCACTCATGAATGACATTTAGGGGTGTGACATTTTATTTTTTTTTATTTATTATTAAGAAAACAATGTAAATGCACTGTATAATGTTTAGTCAGACTGATTTTGTAATTTAACAGTGAATTCCGATCATTTTATAAGAGGACATATTGTGTTTTATACATTTCTACAATATCTTTTAATATAGTTTATTATGCTGACATTTCGGCACAGACTAAAGTGATTGCAATCATCTAAAAATGCAGAGAAGAGCTTCATGACAACACCAAGTTATTGTAGTTTAACAACCACATTTGCTTCCTACGCTGGCAGAGACTCAACAGCTTGGAAGATGATATCCAAATTAGCAGCATCCTCACCTTATCTAGATTGTCTCCGGTAAATATTAATGTCTGTGTTCGGCCTACCTGCAGCTGCAACCCTTTGTTGTCATTATTGTTGATAACGAGGCGGATGCGTCCGTTTTTGTCCTCCGTGACTCGGAGCGTCACCATGCCCAGCACCTCCATGTTCTGTAGGCCGCCGTCACGGCCGCAGGTCAGCGTGATCTTCTCCTCCACACGCAGATGTACACTGGGGAGGAAACCCGTCCATACAGAATAAGCAAGGAACAAATACACAGAAGGTAGTCCAAGCAGGTAACACTGAACAGAACTTTAGTGAGAATGTTGTTGGAAGCAGAGTCCTGCTGCTCCTGAATGTTAGCAGTGTCTCTGCTGATAGACACTCAGCTTCTGGCCTGTGTTGGAAATATCGGGTATTTCAGAATCCACATGTACATCGTCTGTGCACAAGAGGCCATAAGTGATACCAATATTTTTTTTAAAGGAGGGACTCTGCATGCTATAGATATTTTACTATTTGTTATACATAAAATAAAACAAAAAGTAACTCATCAGGGCTCCAGCCTACGACCAAACTGGAACTCTTTTTGAGCATTCAAGTTAAAATTTCAAGTGCTCGTATTCATGTGAGTGATGATGATCATTAAGCTGGTTGGTGTCGCTCTAACCGGCTCAGGTAGCTGCTGTGTTAACCACAGAGGTGGAAAGTAGCACTTCTGTTTCAGTCTGTTCCTGCCTGATGCTATTCAGCTGCTGTGCGCTGTAAAGATAAAGTGGTCTGTAGCTTATTATTATAAAAGCAAATTGAGGAAAGAGGAGGCGGCTGGTGGAGGTGGACAGGTT